TTTCGCAATTTCGTGTACAGCCCGCCGATGATAAAGGTTTTGTTTTAATTTTTACAAAAGACGCATTCATCCCACAGTATCGGAGCGACTATAGTAGTAGGGTGTAGTCCAGGATTTTTACAACGTCGCGCTCCTATATACAAGGTTCACTAAGTTTTTATGCCTTAAATTTATCCCTTTAGCTAAGCTAGCTGCTAAGCTAAGCCTAAGCCTAAGCCTTATTGATATAAACGTGTATACTATATTTATGATTTTCCAGATAATTTCAATTAATTAAAAAATTCTTGAACTATTAAAACAAATGGCTTATATTTTTATGATACTTATGATACGGCCGTACAGTATTACGGCAAAAAATTCCTTCCCCCCGCTAACAGTCCAGTCCCAAAAGTTGTTGACAGTTCCAAAACGCTTTTTTTCAAGAACCCAGGAAGCGACCTTGAAGTGAAGTGGCTAAAAACGGGATTCTCCCGTCCCGTTCATCATTCGGATGATCGGTCCCCCGTTCGACATTTCGCCACCAGCTCCCCAAAAAATACTTTCGACTGAGATCTGGGTAAAAGTAGAGCCATTCCCCCGTCAGCCCTGTTGTTTATTCGATAGCCAGGGCCAACTGTTCGTGCTCCTTTCAGTGAGCCCCCCATCTTATTCGGCCTCTCTCTGCCTCGCCCGGGTGAGATTCCGGGCCGGCAAACAGCGCATTACTGCCCTGCCCCGCCCCGGTTAACGGTGACCGCATGTCGCCATTTCGATATAAGCTTTTACATTTTACTATTTTTAATTATGTTTTGATTAAGCAGACGCTAGTCAGCAACCGGAAAAAAGTTTTGTTAACGGCCTAGAATAACTTTTTGGTCTTGAATTACTAGCTTCTATTATTCAGAAATCATAGACCGTATTTTACCAAACTAAGAAAAATTTTTCATGTTAGCGCAGCCTTTTTACCTAGAAAACAGCAAAAAAAAAATGTCTACGGAAGGGCTTCTCGAAGCTGTTGGAGCATGAGCTTGACCTATTTAGAAGCTAAGCGGGAGCCTGCTAACCCAGGGCTGAGCCTGAGCCTCCTAACAAGCCTAAGCTTAAGCTTGTAAGCTTGAGCAAACGCTTGATCGAAACCTAAATCTCAAGCTTCGCGGAACGTCTTCATCAAGTTCACCACGCGAATTCCTCAAAACATACCAATTCTACGATTAAAAACGCTCCCAATTTCAAAAAATTTTTTGAGAGTGATCCAGATCCCAAAAAACGTGATCAAGATCCTGAGCAATAATTTAAAATGTTTATAATTTTCCGCAGCTCCTTTTTCTCACTTTTCCATGCACTGCGACAGTACACCCCTCCCTCACAACCCTACCCCGTCAACAAAAAAAATCACCGCCACAAGATGGCAAAATTGAAAACGTCGCAATAAAAAAATACTGACAATTGAAAGGGGAGTACATTTTTCAATGCGCTTCTCATTTAAATTTCTATGATGAAGTAAACCAATTTTTTTTTCTAGCGGTCCAGGTTCGCCTAGTAATCAAATATCAGTGTTTTCATATTGTTTTTAGTAAGTTTTCACTATATTTGAGCTAAGAGAGCTTTCAAAGAAAGGTTCGAAAACCGTTTAAAAAAATACGAAAATTTGGTCTTTTGAGTCGAAAAATCAATTTTTCTATCTGAAATTAATTTTTTAATTAACATTTGTAAAGTTTTTATGCTCAGAAAAAATCAATAAACAAACGCATCCAGCCGCGATTCATAAAAAATCTAGACAGACACAGAAAAAAGTTGTCCCCGCGTGGGGAAAGAACCCAATTCTTCTTTTTAATTTTTTTAAATTCTTTCTAAAGGCTACTTTTCATTGGAAACACTTACAAAACGTAATCATACACACTTATAGCCCAACAAAAACCATGGCTATGTGCATATGGCCTCATCGCGTGCGGTGCACGGTCGGCTTGGCGAATGCCGGAATTCTGGACGCGGCCGTTCCAGGTTATTCATGGTTAGTAAAAATAAATAAAAATATTTAGGAACCACCACCGATTACGCCGATTTCTTCCGGAACCATTTCAGCTCTATCAAAGATCTGATCCCCGGCTCGCAATCTGTAAGTCAGTCAAAAACAAAACAAGTTTTTAAAGGCCAGCAAAAAGGCATTTTCCAGCGGAAAGTTAGAAAATAAACCTATCTAGGATCTGCTCACCAACGTCAATCGTGTCAAAGATCTCCTGACCGCCGTCAATTCCCAAAAGGGCGTAAGCGCATTCTACAACATTTCAAACGAACAATTCAGATGCTCGACCTCTGGTGGGTGGCTTCAAAGGGGAACGCTGAATGGCATCAGTGGCCTGCTCCGTGATATCGCCCGGATTCGGCAATAAGGTTGGATAGCAGTGAACTAGCTTAAATCCGTCATAAGAAACCACCGTAGAATTACATTAAACTAAATCCCTATTTAGGTTGGCCGTGAGGACGAGGGTCGCTTCAACCAGAACAAGAGCGCCTGAGACACACTTCCTCGACAAAGTTTTCCAAATGTAGGTAAAGCCCCCACAAAGGGTCGGCGACATTTCAGACTTTTCGCCTGCTCCAGCTGCTACCGCTGCTCACCAGAGCCTCGTCCACCGTCCCCGTCATCTCGGCCGTGCTCGCCCCGCTGGCTCTGCTCATTGCCCGCTTGTAGACTAATTTCGATTGACTTGTATGTTTAGTACACCTTTTTTATTTGATAAAGCCACGTGGTAACTCCACACAAAAAACAACGGGGAAGATGATAACAAATGAGCAAACGACCTACAGGCACTAACTAAGATCAGCTATTGGAAATATGGGACACGGGCGAGGCTTCGTCTACAGAGCAGTCGAAGACGTGGGACAGCCGGGCGGCGAAGAGCGGGATGACCTGAAAAAGGGTATTCAGGAAAAGGAAAAAAGGCTTACCATATCTGTACTGACGTCACTCCCCGTTTCTCTGGAAAGGGATGTGGCCTCAGCGCCGTGGATACCGCAAGCGACAATCTGTAATGGCAGTTATAACGGAAAGATAATTGGGGAGCCTTATCGGGGAACCAATTTTTTTCTTAGGAGATAATTTTTCAAATATAACTAGTGAACGCTTTTCTAAACCGTTTTTCACTATTCCTAAACGTAAAAGCTTTACAATCATTATTACATAGTATCGAAAATATCCGTCTTTCGACCAAAATTTCGCCTATTTGAGCCTTTAAATTTGTAGGTAGCTTTTCTAGTTGAAATATAGTTGGATTTTACTAAAAAAGCTATTGAAACACTTCTGTTAAGTTACTAGAGATTTCTAGACTTATGCAAAAAGTTCGGACCCCCGATAATGCCAAAGAACCGATAAAGCCTTCTAACGATCCAAAAAACACCAACATGGGAAAACCAGCGGAGATCGGTGTTGCAATTCATGGCCAACCCGTGCGAAGTGATCCCCTCTTTCACGGCAATTCCCATGGCACATATCTTACGGTTGTCGCCCACCCAGACGCCTAAAGCCTAGATGAAGGAAAGGAAAACTCTTATAACCTGTGTTGTCCCGACTGCGCCCGACGCCCGAAACATTGAAATCCTCGCTGACACAGTCGATTACTGCCTGTTCCAGGGCATCAACGTAAGCCTAAATTCACATGCGTCCTTTCGATCCCAAAAACCCTACCCGTACGCCAAAACGACGGGGAGAAAAGCGCCGTAAATCTAGGATCGGGTATACCACCAGCTGGCCCGGACCGTGGAAAGTGATTAGACCGCCGCGACTAGTTCTAAAAAATCATGGAATACGATCGAAAGGTCTATAAATACCTATGAAAATCTGCGCCCAAACTTTTGAGATGCTTCTCCTCGTCGTCGGAATAAACCTTGGAGCGAATGCCGACTGTATAAACAGGGGAATGTTCGAGGCAGAGAAGATAATTGCTGAAAATGGCGAGATAAATCAGAAAAATTTACGCGAAAGCGCGTCCAAAACAGAACAAAAATAAAAACCCACCTAGAATATGGTTTGTCCTTTGATTCGGCGACTTTCTTTATATAATCCTCTTGGAGAAGGAGGCCTTGAGCGTAGGAGACGAGACCGGGGCGGATTATTTGGATAGAAGAAAGACGTGTAGTGAGAAGCATTGCACGGCGACTAGGCCGATCTCTTCTTGGGTGGCTGTGCCGCAACGCTACGCAGGCGTCGTTCGCGAGTTCTGAAATAAATTAGAATACAATTTACAGAAAATTCGACCGACTTTGTGTACCACTCGTGCTTGGTGGTGTAGAAAATCTCCTTGAGCTCGGCGTTGACGGGGGCTCGTGGGCGTTGTTGAAGTGCGCCTTCTTTCAGTGGGCCTTCCTCCTAAAATTATTATTTTATCGAACGTCTCGAGTGGAAACTGAGAAAGTAGTATCACCAGGTTGCGCTATCACCATTGCAATTACACATTCACTTACCGTATCAGGATTCAGCGCTTGCAAATCAATGGGCTTCGTGTGCTCGAAAGGGAACGTCGACGGTGGTGCCAGGCAACAACCAGGCCGTTAGCGCTCACAAACGTTTTCCTAGGCAGCAAAAGTTTTTAGACATATCTTTATTACCTCTTTATGTCCTCCGAAGCGAACCAAGCTACTGCACGTAGGAACAAGCAAGCGCGAAGCATGCTCCGACTCAAAAACCCTGTAACTAGCCGTTTCTCGAGCTTGTCCCCGAATTCCCATAGATGTACCAAGTGACCATGATCAATGTGTTTTCCGACCAACAACTTCTTCCGATGAATAATAATTTATTGCGCCAATAACAATTGTTTTGTCAAACCCCACAAAAAAGGGATACACTACCTGAAGCCACGGAAGAACAAGAAAATTTGTCAACAGATTGAGACGAAAACCACGTGATTTGGTGTGCGCTTTAAAACTAATTTACCCATAGAAAAGATAAGTTAGGGGAATGCGGGGCGGATAAAAACAGAACAACCCGCCAGAAAAACAATGAACAGCGATTTGGCTGAAGATCACAGAGATGGGTGGATACCTGTGGATTTGGTTGTGCGTTCCTGGGCGAGTGCGGCCTAGTCCTCCTTCCGTTTACAGGGCGGCCAGGATGCTCTCGGCTCGGGTGCGTCCCTCAGCAAGCTAAAGCTCAGAAAGGTAACCCGATCATAAGCATAAAATACCTTTGCGGCGTGGGCCTTATCCTCCCGGGCCAACCCTTGGTCTGACTCTTCTTCACGGCAGCCAAGTAGGTGGCTTCAGAATCCTTCATATGGCCGTCGTTCTGCGAGAGGCCAGCCGCCTGGAAGAAAGTAAAGATACGCTGTGCCAGCTTCCCATAATAAAATAAAATTGTTTTTATAGCATTCGACGCCCCTTTTTTAAAGTATAGAAAGTTCATAAAAATATTAAAACTGTCTAAAGTTTTGATCATACGCCAATAACGTAGGATTTTGATATGATTGCTAGTTGACAAATTTAAAAAAACAAATCCATTTAAAATTTACCTTCTCGTAAAGGGATGGCTGCGACTTGAGGCTGGCCAGGGTGTTCCGCAAGCTTCTCCGCAATTTCAGCACGAGTGGCATCTGCCTTGGCCTTGGCGGCAGCAAGGGCATCTTCGTCACGAGAAGCCTACAGTGTGTGTCAAAACGATAGAGCCACCTCTTTGAACGCTATTATCTCGTCCCTCGTTGAGTTTGACGCCAAGCTAACTAGCAGGTCTGTTGGCGCTC